AAACCCGTCGTGCGGTTACGGATGGGCCTGGCTGGAGAGATGGTGTGGGGGAGGTGACCAGAAGTCGGCTAGGACGGGTCCTGAAATCATATTAAGGGCTTTGTACTCTACCGTAAGGGTGATGCGAAGCCATTGGAAGGGTTTAATCCAAGAACGGCTAAAACCTGGTTTGCACTTCTGAGCTGTCCCTCTGGCTGCAGTGTTCCTGCTTGCTGGAAGCAGAGCGAACTGAGTCAGTAAGTCCAGTTAGGAGTCTGTTGGGAGGACAGGCAAATGTTTGGACTGGCATCATGGCAGGAGGGTTGGCAAAAAGGAGGAATTCCGAAGGTATAGGCACAACAGGACGTGGGGGAATGCTGGATGTGGTGTGAGGGGACACCTCATAGCACCCAGTTTCCATCTCAGCTGCTGAACTGGCCCTGCAGCTGTTCCCTGGATAGACTGCACAGCAGAAACGCAGGTCCGGGGGAAGACAGTGTGTTCCCTTTGGGGTGCGTCTGTCTGAAGGACCCGTGTGAAGTTCACAGCTAGGGAGTTACGTTTGAAGTGTGGGCAAGAGATCTAAGCCACAGAGAGAGGTTGTGACTGATCCCTACAACCTTCCTAAGGAGTGTTTCTATGATAACAGAAGGCTTCTGAGAGGATAGCAGGATATTTTACCTTCCCCTTAGTTCAGTTTTCTAACTACATTTTGTGGACAGCATCTTTAGCAGCTTGGATAATATTCTCTTAATACATACACATTTACATAACAGCCACGTAGTGTCCCGTTAGTTTTCACCGAAGTTTTACTATTTTAAAAAACCCACAATGAGTAGTTGCATTCCGCTAAATTAGCTCCACAGACTGTTAGTAAGCAGTGCGTGCAGGAAGGGTGCATTGGTCGATAGGGACATTTAGAAATCTTGGTTTAAAAAACTATCCTGCAGGGTCCTTTACTGTGATTTCTCAAAGATTCAAATTTGCTGCTTGGCTGTGACTCTCCATGAGGGTGTTGCTGTGTTTGTTTATACCTCTACTAAACCTTGGGCCATGCCATGCTTTCTAAGGAAAATGCTTTCAGGATTAGTGACCACAGCAGAACAGTTTTACGGGATACAAACGTAAGTGTAAAAGCTGTCCCCAAGTTCCACACGTACTTCCAGAAATTGTATTATCATAGTAACAGGATTCAACGTCTGTCCTTGATACGTATTGCCAAATGCCATTCCCCAAGGCGAGTACATTGCTGATATATAAATTGTTACAAAGATCTGTTTCACCATACCCCCCTCAGCTGTGGCAGTGAATTTAAATCTGACCTGATTTGGTTGTGTCTCTGTAGCTGCCGGGAGACTCAGCCCTTTTCCAAGTGACTGATCACTTGCGGCTGCTTTTGTGAGTCCTTTCTCACAAAAAGATAAGTGGTCTGTTGTCATAATCTGATGTTGTGGTAGAATTTTATATATGTATAGCAGTCATTCTTGTTTTCATGCGCTTTTTAGTGATGTTCTTTTTGAACATGTGGAGCTTCTACATTTTTTACATGTCATTTCTCTAAAGCATCACAGTTTTTAAGCTAAGAACGTCCTTACGTAAAACTTTAAACACTCAATAACACTTCTTGGGGGTTTTTTGTTGTTATTCACATTAACTCTTAACCCCTCTGGAATTTATATTAATTTATCTTGCTTCTTTCCACCCCCCCAAAAAACTAAGTTTTATAGCACTTGTTTCTGAATAATTTCTCCTTTCAAAATTAATATATTATACCCATGCAGCCTTCAATAGTTTTATGAGAAAATAATTTATCTACACTTCCTAAATTAGCAAATTGAGATAAATGAGAATTTATTAGTGGCCAGTTACTTTGGCCAGTATCAGACTTACGACAAGCAAAGTTTGTGATGTTAATGCGATGAAACCATGATGTTTATAAACTGGCCTACATTTAATTTGATGTGGTAATAAAAATTTCCTTCCTTGAAGCTCATGGGAAAGGCCACTAGGAAGAAGACTGGTGTATTGAAAGAAACTTGAAAATTAAAATGAAGAAAGGAAAAGTTTGTTACTAATCAGTGCTACTAATAAAAGCAGGCACTTTACCAATGTTATCGGGGTTAATTCTTACAATCCACTTTACAGCTGAGAAAAAGCAGAGACTCGGAAGTCACTTATCCCAAGCCCGGGACCTGGGAAGGGCAGAGCCGGACGGGTTCAGGGCTGGCCATCCTTGTCCTGCTCCAGCTGGGGTCCGCAGATATGCCTTCGGTTCCCAGAGGGCCTGCTTGTTTAGACAGTATCTGTACTCTATCCAAGAATGAGTCATAGCGCAGCACTCTGATATTTCTAGTGTGCTGTGAAAGGAGGGGTAAACTAGGAACCCTTTGCTGAAGGGCTATAGGCAGGTAGCACTTGAAATTCTTTCTCCTACACAACTGAACTTGGAGACCCCGAAGGTGAAGGACTGGGTGTTCCTCTCTGGTGTGGGAATGTAGTTGCTCAGAGGTGAGCTCCTCTGATCTGGTCAAGGCCCTTGGCTTAGCTAAATGCATGGGAGCTCACATTTTCTCAAACGCCCCTTCTCTGCAAGTTCACACGGAAATTTCAGAACAGTCCCTCATGCCTCTGCTGCATCTTGCATTTTCAGGCAGGGCTGCTTCATTTCTGGAAGCCTGCGTGGTCCCAGGTGGAACCAGCCTCACTGCACAGAGACAAGTGGTTGTTTGTCCGGCCAGGGCCTGTGCCCTCCAGTTACCGGCTTCAAGGCTCCCCTGGCTGATCCTTTCTCCAGCCCCAGGGAGGCACTTTTGTGGCCCATTCCCTTTGGTCTCACAGGGCCTCGAGGAGGGGTGGTGGGGGCCGCTTGGCAGGGCCCACCGATCTCCCACGTTAGGAGCATTTTGCAAACCCATCCCAGAGGGAGCTCCAGCCCAGCCCTGAACAGGCTGCTCCTGTTCCCCCTTTGTGTGCGGGGGTCGGGCGCCTTTCCCCAGCTGACCTGCCTGCGAGTGGAGACATGTGAAAAGTTAAGAGACAAAAATGGTTTCTGCAGAGGGAGGGGGAGCGTTCTTGTACAGAAAGGAAGGAAATACCTCTGTGGGATTTTTTCCCCCGCTCTTCATCCAAAAAATACAGAGACTCTCTGTCTTTAATGCGAATGCCAGCTTTAAATCTTTTAGGTTTGGATTAACTCTGCAAAAGAAAAGAAAAATCTGACAGGCTTTCAGATATGACGCAGAAAAACTTTTTTTCCCCTCAATTCATGTTGCTGGTTTGCAAAGCCAAAGGCTGGTGGCCTGAATAGTGAGCGCCAGTTAACATCACAATGGTCAGAGTTAGCAGCCGCCAGCCTCCCCCTCCGCCACTCTGGCCTTTTCCATCAGCGGACATTTAATACAAGGTGGCAGAAGCAAGAAGAAATTTTTCTCCTCTTGCCCCCTCAATTAAGAGAGGTTAAAATTAAGCCAGGTCAATGAGGCGTTTTCAGCGACGTGACTTAGAATGTCGAATCTTACCTTTTCCCCCCAGGAGGAAAGAGAAATGTGGTGTTTCACAGCCCTTACCTTACCAGCCCTTCCTTCGCTCTAAACAAAACCCCCTGAGCTGATAGACATTTCCTACTACACAGTGACTGCGGTTTTCACTATTGAGGATGTCAGCAAACACGTCTCAGATCACGCTTTGCCTATAAAATAAAGTGACTTTTATGTGAATATTTCTCATGGTGTCAGCGTCTAGAATGTGGGTGCTATGTCATTGAATCCACGTGGCAACATTTATTTTCTGAAATTTTTTGTAATAGCACATTTTTATGAAAACGGTATTCAGAGCTATTTGATCCTATAAAGGGGAAAAAAATCTTAGCATTCTTGAACCGACACTATCGAGAAGCCCATGTTCATGTAAAAAAAATTTAAATAGCAGTTCCTGGCTTTCAGTTGAAAGTCAAAATGAATAGGTAATTTGAAACATAATTTAAAATGCGTAATATTTTTATGTGATGAGGATTGATTAGGAGTGTTCGTGTATAATTCTGAAACTGCCTGTAAGAATTAAACTCTAGATCATTTTTAATTCCTGAACCACACGTGGTTAAAAACAAAAGTCTGTGATTGTTAGCAGAGTGTAAATATGCACGCATTAGTGGGCTACACTTTAATGGGGTTATAACAGTACATGTACTGCAAATTTGTTCTTGGTAAACAAATCGACTTGAAGTGAAACAAAATATTCCTTTTGGTTTCATTGTATGACATATTCCTTTCAAGTTCTGTGTAATCTTATTATATTATAAAGGACATTTTATTATAATTGCAAATAACCAATAGAATTTATTAATTTTGTAATCGTAGAAACATTTTTTGCAACCCAAAACTGATACAGCAATTTGGGATTTGATACAAAATAATGATTAAAACTATTTTTAATATACTTCTACTTGAGTTTTACATGCTAGATATTTGGGTTGACTTTAGCAGTAACAGAATGTAGCAATACAAGTTATATAAATCTTTGAACAAAATTTAAGATTATCATATATAATACCAGGTGAAAATAGTAAAATATTTTTATAGGTATCTTAATTTTATTATACTATATTCATGATTTATCTAGATGATTTTTAATATTGTGTCATATTTTATAAAAGCAATTAATTTTTATTTGCAAATTAATAAAGTTAGTTAGGATTTATTTTACATGTTGTGTAAGAGAATTTAATCCAGAACATATTTGAATTTTCTCAAAAAGATTGATAAAATTAATCACATAAAATTATGACAAGACTTGCCACATGCTGAAACTTGCTAGATTAGACACTCAAAGGGAAAAAAATAAATGCAGTATATACATAGGTTAACACATTTGGCTTTTAATTTCTCAAGTTTAAATTTAGAGTTATCATACTCTCTTTCAGAATGAGATTCTTAAAATTATTTTACTTAAAATGCTATAAAGCTAAACACGGATACTGTGTTCGTTGGTTTTTAAAGTCACACTGTTTCTGGCGGTTTTCTCAGGCAGCCATGCTGTTCGGCTCTGGGGTCTTCTGGACGGGCCTGCTCTTCATCCCCGTGGCGTCCCTGCTGCTCGACGTGGCGTGCAAGGTGTAAGTGGGGCCGCCGTGTGCACAAAAACACAGATGGGGGCCAGCCCACCAATTTCTCTACTCATAACGTCGACCTGAGAATGGGAAGTTTCCAGGATAGGAGTCAGCGATAGTCATGTATTCTACATAAATAAAGAAGAAAAGAGTGATTGAAGAACTAGAAAACTAAATGAGTTAAAAAGGCAGAATAAGAAGTAAAGCAGGCAGTTTCAGTTAATATTAGAGAGTACATTCTTAGAAATTACCCTGAAAAACCCAGTCAAGGTAGAAGAAAAATTCTGTTCTCTTCAAATACACATACATATATCTTATTAATGAACAATACTTGTGAAATGAAGCTTTTTGTTTGCCTGATTCCAAACATATATAAATACACATTGAAGGGTTTTTTTGCTTGCCTGATTCTAAACATATATAAAATATAGAACTATAGAACTTTAATAATTTACTGAAGGATTATAAGTTTGAAAATGTTATCTCTTCCCACAAAAGTGGTACCATTAAAGTTAGTTACAGGATGCTTACTTAATAACTATGAGAGTTTTAATGCTATAAACCTGAGCCATTTACTTTAAGACTATTGTTTCTTTAATTATATTAATGCTCAAAATCATTGCAATTTTTATATTCTTTTGAACTATTATTTCTACTCTGGTTACTCTTGTTTTTAGAAGCATGATAATGCACCAGTCTTGTGAGGTCTTTAGTCTTCACACAAATATTTCCATGCAAACTCTTTTTTGCAGTATCAAGAGGACCGCTTTTAAAACATTAGTAGATGAAGTTCAGGAGCTAGAGGCAAAATCTCAAGACCCAGGAGCAGTCGTGCTTGGAAAAAGGTAAACTACACTGAATGTGGTCTTTTCCAAATGAACTTTCAGTTTTCCTTTTACTAGAGATTGGAAATCAGTGGTAAAACTTGTATTTTATCAGTTTACAAGGAGCCAGCCGTGTTGTTGACAGATTTGGGAATCAGAGAGACATGGATTGGGGTCGGATCTGTCATTTCACCGAGCTGTGTGTGGCCTTAGCCACGTTGCTTAGTGCTTCCGAGCCTCAGTTTCCTCATCTCTACAATGGGGACGATGACGCCTACCTCGGGCTAGTTGTGAGAATTGAATAAAATACCATCGATAAAGCAGATAGCTCAATGTCAGGTGCTTACTGAGAAGTAAATAAGTGGAAGTCACAGATAGTATCGTGTCACTGAACTGAAAGGGGGAAAAAGACTTTCAGCCTCAAACAGTACCCATAACACAGTCGTGTGTCCTGAAAATCAGAGCTTGACTTAGGATGGAGCGCCCTGCAGTTGCACGTGTGTCTCGGTGTGTGATTAAGAACTGACCTGGGCCTCTGTCACATATATTGGGAAGGGACTTACTTAATGTCTTCCCAGTCCTTTCCTCCCCACTACCACCTCCAAAAAAGTGAGGTTAGAAAGCTAATCAAATTCATTAAATTCACAAAGCATTATAGAAAGAAAGGTAAGATTATTTGGAGCCATCCGTAATAAACCATAAATATGAAGATAATGCCAGGTGTTTATATTCCTTTCTTCCATCACACTAAAACACGCTAAAGTTTTGTCTAAACAGTAAGACATATTTTGCCCTGGTCTGTGTCACCTTCATCATGACTCACTGTTGTTTCTCTGTGTGACCCAGTGGAGTGAGTGTCAGGCTGGGAACATAGGCTGAGACCGCGGCTGCCTCACTTGCTTCCACGTGGCCTAAGGGGCCCCTCACACCCCCAGCTGTGCCTCTCTGGAAACACTAGCACTGGCTTCTGTGGGGCACTCACTGCAAGCCAGGTGCTACACTCGTCACTGCATGTTCACTCTCTCACTGAGTCCCTATAGCAACGGCATACAAATCCATCACCTCCACTTACCTCAGATGGGGAAACCGGGGCCAGGAGAGACTCAGTTCTCGAAGTCAGAAGTGACAGAGCTGGGCCTTCAGCCCATGTCCGTGGACTCTCAGACCCTTGCTCCCAACCGTTCACTGTTCTGCCTCCTCGTGCAACCTTGTCAAGAACGTGCTAGAGCAGCACAAACAGCCTGCCCTAACAGGCAGCCCGACAGAGTTCTTGACCTCTCTGAGTCAGTGTGCCTGTGCGTGTGATGGGGATGATAATACCAGTTTTCAGCATTAGAGACATTCTCCTCCTCCCTCAGCCTTCCCCTCAGCCTCTGTTCTTTCATCTACAAGTTTCCAGCTCTGACAATGGCCTGGCATAAATAGCCCCTCAGTAAATGTTTCCTCTCTCTTTCACCCTAGCTACATAAAGGAGGTGCTGAGAGTTCTAGTTCACAAAAGTGTGAATAAAACCATTTATTAACAATTATTAGGGAAAGTCCTCTGATGGTCCTTGTCACTAACCTATGGAGTAAATTCCTCATATGTGTAAGTTAATAAAACTTACATTAAGACCCTCCATGTGATTTTCAATTTTTATGGTTTGTAGTGATAATCAGAGTCAATTCATAAATCGGGCTGAGGGTTTGATGTGATGACCTGTAGATTCTAAAGATGTGGTAAGTCTGTGATGTATGTAGACCCTCCCATGAAATAAATTAAGAGAGTCTAAAAGGAAGGAAGTGAATTCTGCCATACCTGACCTCCAACCTCTGCATGGAAGATGCACTAGATAGAGTAAACTCTCCAGCCCAGCTCATTTGCCTAAAATAGCTCTTCAGCTTTTCTCAAGAGCTCAGAAATGAGTTGGCTGTCAGCTGAATACCACAGGCAAGGGCCCCTGGTACAACACGTACCCCGTGTCGCTGCCGCTGCCCATTGGTGATCAAAGGACACTGATGTTCACCCAGCCCAGTGTCTGCCTGCTAGGTGATCACTAGGGGAGGGGGGAGGAAAAAGATCTGGGAAAGGAGAAAAATCTAAACTAGTTGGTGAAGTCTTCGTGCTACACTAATTGCATTCTAAGGCAGAAAGAAACTGTCGGATTGATTTTACCGCCAGGATTATTTTAGAAATCCCGGACAATGATATCAATGTCAAACTTTTTCAAGTTCTCTGATTTTATCTACACTTTCAAAGAGGGGGAAATTGTGATTTCTCTGTGTTTTAGCAGTAGCACACTTCCTTTAGTTCCAAAACACGGTGTTCTTTTATACCTCCCAGTATTTATCTGCCCATGCTGTTCCCTTGTCTGGAAGCTGGGACCCTGGTGCAGAGTGGACTGTCTGATTCCTAGCCTTCAAAACCCAGTTCACTGCAATTACCTCAACTTTTCACAAATACAATTAATTGCTACTCTGTTTAATCTGTACTTTGTTTACTCTTCTGTTTTTATATTTATTACCTATATTACAATGTGTTTGTCTCCCCTATATTTGTTTGTTTTCTGCTGGATTGAATTCCTTGAAGGAGAGACCCTCTGTCTTAGTCCTCTCAACCCAACACGTAGCACAGTTCCAGGAATGTCAAGGGAGGGAAGGAAGGAAGGAAGGGAGGGAGGGAGCGAGGGAGGGAAGTAGGACTCAAACATTTGGTGAAAGGATAAATGAATGGTCAAGAGAGGGAAGGGGAGGGGGAGGGGAGGGGGAGGGGGAGGGGGAGGGGAGGGGAGGGGAGGGGAGGGAAGGGAAGGGAAGGGAAGGGAAGGGGAGGGAAGGGAAGGGGAGGGAAGGGAAGGGAAGGGAAGGGAAGGGAAGGATGAAAGTACAGAGTAGTAGGTGGTAAGCAGGTGGTTGACCTGTGGGTAGTTATTTAAAAATAGAATACATAAGAACACAAAATTATTGATACACAGGTTACACTTCCCAAACTAGTTATGTCCAGAGTAATGATGGTTTACATGTTTTGTCAGAGAATGATGCAGTTCGAGTTGATCAGCCCTAATTTGCTTTCATCTTCACTAAGAGATGCTGTGATGTCAAGCTATACATAGAATGGAACTCTGCTAGAGAAACTGTAACCCGTAAGCTGGGTATCCAGATCAATATGTGCAATCACTTATTTTTCATCTTTACTCACTCTCAAAAATTAAAACATTTTAGTTAAAATAATGAGTCTTTGTAGAGGAAATAGTGTGCCACTTACCATTATCATCCAACAAATTAGATATATTCCAATTTCACATCAACACTTTGGGGGGAAAGTGTATTTCACCATTTTAAATATGCTGCTTTGGAGCCATGGGTTGTAGTAGAAATTGATTTAAGCCTAAAGTACTGGCAGAATAAATGCAAACCTCCCTCCTGATGACGGTGTAGCGGTGGCTAATTATTTTTAAATAAGGAAAGGCCGTCAGTGAGACCCTGTTTCTGCTGGAACTTCTGCGTGGACATGCTCCAACACTAGGGCACAGAAACCTCTGCAATTCCAAAATCCAAAAAAAATTTTTGTCAAAAATCAGTTTTTCTCATAGCTTTATAGCAGACCTTTCCTGAAAAAAACAAAACATTTGTTCTATAAATACAAGGACATTAATGGTATTTATTTTCTCTATAATGTAAATGTTTATACATTTTATAGCAGAAATATTAATTTGGGGGGCCTCTCAGATCCCACTTGAGGGTATTATATCCACAAATTGCATGTAACATCTTTCCTGCTCTTGAAAAAAATGTAAATTCAAAACCCAAAGGATTAACATAAGGGGTTGTAGACACGGGGTTCCTTGGAGACAGGGCAGTTATTTGGGGGATATTTTTTATATGCGTATGAAGCAGTACATCCTACAGACAGGCAAATATGATAACAAGACTCATAATTTTTCATATCTCACCGCAGACATTAGCCAGGATATCACCACCAGCCATCGCTGAGTAGGATGAAGCCCAGGGTCTGCAGCTCCTTTCTCCCTACTTTGCCCACCCGGACCTCTGTCTGGTCCATAGTCTGGGCTTTAAAGAGGAGAGTGGGAGAGTACGGACACCACATAATTTGGCCATCTAGGTGGTGATGGTGGTCTCTCCCAGTCTCTCCTGAGTTGTGTATCCTGATAAAAAGCAAATATAACACTGCCGAAGAACTAATAGAAAAGAAACTCTATTTCTCCGTTTTCTCTCTGGATTTCATGCCAGTGTTACACCAATTTCTTGGGCTTTAGGCGAGGCAGACACGTCAAACATTTCCCCAGCCTTCTCCCATCACTGTGACCGTGGTCCTGGCCGGCATTTGCAAAGAAGAGGCAGAGAGCAATGAAATGTTCTCTCTCCCAGGGCAGAGATCAGGCCGGACACACTCATTGTTTACGTCCCCACCGATAATACCGCCCCACATGGGGCAGCTGTCACGTGCTGCACACCAAAACAGCCCGTGAACAAAAGGTTATTTACTTTCCAGAGGAGATCCATTTTACCCGTTTTAACCAGTCAACCAAAACAGCTTGACAACCTAATATAAAGACAAATGCAAGTTTGCCACTCTTAAAGGGTTACTGAAAATACCCTGTGACAACATGTTCCAGGGCAAGTGATGGTTTTTACCTATATTTTTTAATGTTCCAAAATGAAGTACCATTTTAAAACATGGTATCCTGCCACCTCACCTCCACTGGGTACCTAAGTTGCAAAATTGTAGTGGGTTTGAAAATCAAGTCACGTAATTAAGTGGTAGTTGTTATGTATGTAATCGCATTAAACAAATTCAGAATTTGCATAGCTTGGTATGTAAATGAAAGACCACACAAGCCTGAGTGAAACTACTGACTAAGAGTTGTGAAGAAGGTGCGTTTTTTTCTGAGAAGGGATCCTAGAGACTTTCTTCTCACACTGTGTTCAGCCATTCAACAAAAACTGAACTTTTAACACATCTATTAATGGTTAACGTGGTACCAGTATATTTTATAATATGCGACTTGATAGTAATATTAGTATCCATAAACATCAGCGGCACAAAATTGCATTATTTCAACCTAATGAGCAGTTCCCTAATTAAGGTAGGATAACACTAGAAAAATAGAACTCATCATCACTGTTTATTAAGCATCTGCCTATGAGTGACATTTATGTTCTCTAGAGGGACCCTGCTCCGTAAGAACTAAAGTAATAGGTAACTAAGAGAAAGAAAGAAAAAACACCACCTCCTAGTTTGCTCCTAAGGAAGTGGAATAGGCGTATCATAAATTAAACTCATGTAGCAATAGCCATCTGGTGTTGAATAAAAACCAAGGCATCAGAGGTGTTCCTCACAAAGCATCTTTTGTTCGGTGATGATCTCTGTTCTTGTTGATTTTTTATAGTTAAGTTCTTGCGGATCCGGGGAGTGGTGAGGGGCAGAGCATTTGTGGAGTGCTTTCTAAGTGCCCGTCACTGTGCCGGATGCCGTGCCATGGCCTGAGGGGTGGGGACTGTCCCCCTGTTGTACAGAGGATGCTTGAGTAGGGTTTGCCTAAGGTGGCCCTGCTAATAAGTAACAGACTCAGAATTAAACCAAAGTCAGTCTGCAAAGCCTGTGCTTTTTCCACAGTAATATGCTCCTTTCCCAAAAAAAAGACTTTCTTAGTGCTTTTTTATTCGGGGGAAGTGGGGGGTTGTTTGTTTGTTTTTGTTTTGGAACACTAAACATGAGCTTCATATAAGAGCTGAACAAAATTCAGTGTAGCCTTATATGAAAATGTTACCAAACAAAATTGCATTATCTTAGGTAGGTAAATTACCGTAATATGAAAAACAAAATTCTCCTGTCTGCCTTCTTAACACTCCGGCGTTGCCATGTTTGAGTATTATGCATCTAGAAAGGCCAGCCTGAAACCTGGAAAACATATTTTGGGAAGAGGCAGCTCTATAATGATGCATTACGATCTTGTGGTCTAATGTAGTCATTTCCATTTTACCTCCCAGCACCCCAGCCGCTGAGGCTCTGCAAACAAAATCTGACCACCTGCTGCTAAAGCTGCCCAGTGCCCCAAAGCAGTTACATATTTTAATGCCCCTCAGGGTCCCGGGGCTGTAATGTTAGTAAATTTTTTTTTAAAGTGACTGTAAAAATGGCCCCTTTTCCTTCCCCTTAAATCTGTTTATTTCACTGGCAAAAACAGGTTTTACAAATATTTGCAAAACCACTGGAGTTTTAGATGAATTAGCTTTCTTGCCTTAATGTAGCTAATTCCCAGTGACAATAAAGTATGTCTAATAACTACCAGTTAACATCCCTAGACTTTAAAAAATATGTGTGGAAGATTACTACAAATGTCAACATTTCTAAATATTTTACTTTATCCAAAGCCTAAATATTTGTATAATTACAAGTTCATTTTGCAGAGGACCCTTCCTCTCTTTTCCGTGTGATAAAAATCCTTCCATGTCAGGGTCTCAGAATCACTGGCAAAATACTGACCTCGCATAACTTACAGCAGTTTAACCAGAGCTTTTATAGTGGGGAAAATACAAGATGGAAAATTTTCAGCTGAGTTAGTTCCAGTGATTAAAACAAAGTTGTATAAACATCTGCTGCAACGCATATAGATTACTTATTAGCTCTTCATGCTTATTATGTTCTTTGATATCAAAGCAAGGCTTGAGAAATCAGCCAGTAGAGAAACGGCATGATTGGGAGAATTGATGGTGTTTCAAAAAGCACTTCAGAATTATCATTCAAATTCAGCCAGTATTGGAGTTCCCTACTGTATAAGGCAGTTCTGCATGTAGTGAGAAAAAAATAGGTGCATTATTTCTGACAGTGTGCTTTTGGAAGTTACATAATTAATCACATGAAGTTGTTCCTGTGGAAAAGATTATTCTAAACATTTATTGAAAAATAAATATTGTGCTGTCATATTTTACCTCTATAATTACTTTCTGCAAATAGTTCTTTTATTTTAAAATGAAACTAAGGGACATATTTCATACCATATTAGTGGTAATGGAATTTTTCTAATTAAAAAGTCTATGAAATTTCTTCTTTGTGTAATTTCTAGGATTTCTTTACATAACAAAAAAAATACTGTGCACCAAAATATATTTAAAACAGGAAAAAGATATAATGATTTTTTTTAATTCTAAAAATTACAGGCTTAAAATATACACAGTAAGTCAACTAAGATTTTAGAAGCTAATAAACTACTGGAAGACTTTTTTTATTTCTTATTAATTGTATCGTGCAGGTTCTATAGCTCCATTTCACTGTAACATAACTGGGGTGTGGGGAAGTCTTTTGACTGGATTATTGGGGGCAAAATAGTCCTGCATCTAAACTCTCAAAATCCCATTATCTGAGAAAATGGGGTAAAAAAGAAATCAGCAGACTACAGATTTCTCGGGCGGTCTTTTGTCTGAGTCTGAGCCTCTCTGGTGGTCCTGTGGGCACACGGGGGTCTCTGCTGAGCTTATCATTCACTTCTCACGTTCGCACCTGCTCCGCAGCCTCACCGAGAGGGCGCAACTGCTCAAGAACGTCTTTAAGAAGAACCACGTCAATCTGTACCGGTCTGAATCACTGCAACAAAACCTGCTCCGTAAGTCCCTGACCTCTTACTTCTGTAAAAGTTCTACCATTACTTCATGGCATTCATGAGAACAGCACTTTGACTTTAGGGATGTTGAACTATTTAAAATTAGCACCTGAAACCACTTTTGCATCTTTTGCAGCATGTTATATGAATAACAAATGTTTAGAGAGTCCTTTAACCTCAATCCTCTCACATTTAGCAGAGGAGATAGAGCACTGTAACATTTTTGCAGCTTTCATTTAAAGAAAAATATTCCCACATGCCCCTTGCTTCCTTAAATCTTAAAAAGAACCGGTAAAATAAATCTGAAGTCTTAAAAGCTCTCTCTGTATTATCTTTTCTACTTGAATAACTTTGCAATAGCCTTTTCAGCTTTCATGCAGAACAATGAAACATATATTTCCCCCTTTGAAAATATTTATGAACATTTAGAGTTGTAACAAATTACTAGGTATCATGCCCTGTTAACATTTCAAGGATCTAAAAAAGAATATAATATATAAAGCCCACTAGTAAATGTGTTTGTGTTAGTAATATATCTTTTGTTTCATGTTGTTTCCACATACAATTTATTTTCACTTGTATATACTCGTGTTTAATGCTTTTGCTCTTTATACTTCAAGGGGCCTTTCCTCACGATGTGATCCCCTTGGGGGCCATTTCTCGTCCATAGGCCCCCGCCAACCCTGCTGGGGCTTGAGCGAGTTTCTTTGTCAGTTGCCCAAAGCCAGGCAGAGTCTTGTCTGAGGGAAGGAGACTGTTTCCCACCATCCGTAGTTATGGGTGCTTCTCTCTTCGCTTTTATTCCTCCTTCCCTCTCATCTACCTGATCTGTGCAGGCACTCATGTGCCCACTTGGCTAGGCCCCCCCAGCCCCTCCGGTAGCCGGGATGCAAAAACTAGATGGGTTGGCCCTGGGATGCTGAACGGAGAATTGCGAGGGGTTGGGAGTGCCTGCTCGTTCGTCTAGGGAGCAGAACTTGGAGAATCTAAGCCAGTCGTCCATCCCCCTCTTCATTTTGCATGCTCGACTCTGTGTTTTTTCCCAACATTAAAAATGAGTGTCTTCATGGTTCGGAGGGTGGGGGGTGGCGGGGAATGCATGAGTGTGCCAAGTTAGAAAATGAGCACTCAGAACTCAGAGGAGCCGAGATTCCCAGTGACTTCATGATGATCCTTTCTACTTTATCTTTAACTTGCAGACGGGTATGCTTTCTCTCAAGATGAAAATGGAATCGTCTCGCAGTCAGAAGTGATTAGGGCCTATGATACCACAAAGCAGAGACCTGATGAATGGTGATGGGGAGGGGCCGCCGAGCAGGCCCTGCTGCGTCTCTGAGGAGAGCTCCCACGTCTCCACCGGAACCCGCCGACCAGTCCCAGCCTGGTCCATGGAGGCAGAGGGTGGATCTGAGCTCGCGTCCTTGACTGACATTCAGATTCATGTATATTATAGACATAAGCACTGTGCGACTCTACTGTAACACCATCTCTTTCAGATTTTTCAAAGTTTTTGCTAAGCCTTTGTAAACAGAAATTGGAAATGACCTTGTATCTTGCCAGAGTGCTTTCTTAAATGGAGAATAGGTCAGTATTCTTAAGCTGTTACTCTGGGGCTGCAACTGTCAATTTAGTGGATGTACCACAAGGTGACCAACCATTAAAAAAAAAAACTCTAAAATGGGAATAAGTGAACAGGACTCTTGATATCCAGACTTAGATTTCAGAATATGCTGACAAAAAAGAAAACCAGCATTCTTAAGGAACTGACTCAACTTACTGAGAAAAATTCCTAAACAAGACATGAATAAGTGTTTGTGTCAAAAATTATCTTGATAAATGTTTGCCAAAGAAGTTAAATAAATGTATTTTTCATTCAGTAGTCATTTGCCCAGAAATTTGAGAGAAAGTTTACCTCCAATTCTGCTATGAGATCTGCATGCTTGACTTTTCAAATATAAGACTGATTTGCAAACAAAAAAAATGAGTATTTCAAGGCATTTGCTACTAAAATCTGTGATGTTGCACCTTTGGCCTTACAAATGCTTCTCACTTGTTTGTCGTCTTTATGTGTCAAGTTAGAGGACACATGTGGTGATGTGATTCTGTCGTTACGATACTGATTTTTAAAACTGTATGTCTCAGTCATTTCTAATGAGGTTTCATCGTCATTTAGATTTTTCTAAAGATCCAGCTTCTGCTGTAGATTGAGTGATGTCATTTTGTCTTAAAGTTTTCTCTCTTAAGAAAAATATGCTTACCTATTCATGTGGCATTTCTAATGCTCCTGTCTGTTGAGGTGTTTGAAACATCCTGTTGGGTAAATGCATGGGCTTCTGTACTGTGTTTCGATTCTCCCTGTTCGTTCCCACTAGAGATGCCTGCTGTCTTATGTAGCACGCCCTGTGTTATGCTGACCGCCCTCTACTTACGACTGAGAATTACTTCACAGTTCACTTGTCAAGCAGCTGCCAAAATCAGTCACATACTGCTAATTGGAACAAATAAATAGTACATTTTCCCCATTTAAAAAATACCTATTGTATTCAGAAAGCCTATGACTTTACGGTCAAAGAACACTTTTCATCGTGAGTTGGTTCCATTAATATGCTTTAAACTGTATGTTCAGTTTGATTATTTTCTGCATTTTCAAGACATCTAAAAATGCCTGTTTTGCTACCAACAATAAACGGTGAAGGGGCTGTTTTGAAACCACAACCAGTTTTCTACACTATTTTTAAAATAATGCTTTCATTTAGGAAAAAATAAAAAGGAGTACTAGATTTCAGATACACTTCAGAGATTGAAGCAAACTTTTTGCCTTTTATTCAAAAGCCTGTTTGCCTTTAAGTGGACTTACCAGCAAAATGGATAGAAGTTCCTCTTTAAAATAAAGTCAACTAGAACTGAGAGGTGATTTTTTCCAAATCACTCCTTGAGGTTAATAATTTCACATTCTCTTTGCCCTTTTTCTCAATCTAGATTTAAAATGAGGCTATACATCATTTCCTTCTCAGTGTTTTTAGCTATTTGGTTACAAGCACGCCTCCCACATTTTCTACAAATAAGAGAGGTTATAACACACACGTAATTCTAACCTAAAAGGGGCAAGGAGTTGACATACTTCACTTCCCAGACCCTTGCCTTTTGGGGTTCAGATTAAGAGATTGTGAATCAAAACATCTCACAAGACCACAGGTGTAAGCTCATCTTCAGAATTCCAAAGTCACAGACTTGACCTGTCTACCGAGTGGATATTTAGAGTGGCTTTCCTGGGCTTCCCAGTGGTGATGGTTACGGTTAAACCACAAAAACTAAAAAACAAGAATGACCTGCCTCCCTCCAGAGAAAACCTAATGGCAGATACAGACAACAGTTGCTTCCACTTGCCCTCACCTCACCAGGGACATTTTTCTCCAAAACTTCAATAGCAAAATAGGATGACTGTAATACAACTGCATTTTATGACTTAAGAAAACTAAAAGTTTTATTTTATCTTGAAACATGGATTGTTTCTATGGAGCTCATCAACGTGAGTGGAATGTTCATGGTTAATAATGTATTGAATCAGGATTGGAAATATGACTAATTTATGGGGGGGTTTTTTGCCCCGTGGCTCTCTACTTGAATGATCAATATTAAGTCAATTTCTTCACTTCTTTGGTGGGAGTGGGGGATGGGCATCAGGGAGTGATCGCCGTGGCAGAACTTAAAGATTGCAAGGCAGTGACTTGATGGTGTTAAATTAGAGAAAACCCTCTGATTTTTCAACCTTCCCAAGGAGAAAAAAATGAAACAGTTTTACCAGGATTCCAATAAACAGTGAAGTGACTTTCCACAAGTATTTTCTGAAATAAAGGACATGTACTCTTCAATTAATGGTATTGCTAACACCACTGCTTTACAATGTTTACAATTCAGAAAATACCACTTACAGCAGAAAATCCTCATTTGTTTTGCATGGAAAAGCTGGGAGTCGCTTCATTAATGTTGAATAGGACACAGTGACATTGTGCCTGAACTTTCTAAATGTTTTATATAACATATGAAAATATATTGGTGTTTCACACCCAGAAAGATGCTATATGGTAGAAATTGTTAGCAGGAAAATGGTATTTCTCAGGAATGTAGTAAATTTGAAATGGTGTATGTGCTGCCCACCCTCCAACGCCCCGCTCTGTCTGATGTAAGCCCGCCTCAGCAGTGTTGCAAAGCTAATGGAAGACTTCTAATCAAGTCAGGTGAATGTGTATTCAGCTCCACAATATCAGCCATTTACATAAATTGTATGGTCATTAAATGGAATCAATGATTCCTCTAAATTTCCAGAGGGGAAAAATGAATTCAAGAAATCAGCATTTATTCTGATTGTTACATTTTATGTTTTAATTTTGCAATTCAGCCTTCTAAATGTCCAAGATGCGTGTCACATGATAGTGGGCGGAGCATTTTGCACGCTGTCCCTCACCTGTAGTCTGTCATTTCCGACGTTCTTTCAGGAAAGGAATGGTAGTCGGAAAGTCATAGATTGTATGTTTATAGTTTTCAAATTATCTATAACAATGTCAGTATTACGAAACCTGAATAATCATTAGTGTTTATTTTTGTGCAGATGACCTTTGACAGTTCCCAGTTTTAAAGCATATTATCAAATAAGTCTATACTCTCATAATCATCATCTACAGAATTTACTGAGAAAAGGCCCACCCCATTCAGTCATACAGGCCAAGCCTGTGAATCCTTTCTATCAATTATTCAATGTAACACCATGCGGTCTGTTACCTAAGTAATGCTTTTGAATGATGACTATGTCTATAATGCCTCTTAAAGAGACCATAGTCTGATTGTTCTCACATTAAAATGACTGCAGTCACTTGTGAAACTTAGTTATACTTTGCTGCATTTTAATTAACCTTCAACAGATATTAAAGTGGAATGTAAGTTAAATGTTGAAGGAAAGGAAATAAATGTTTTCCATTTTCCATCTCGATTTATTTTCTGTAGGAGAGCAACTGTGTTTTTGATAGGCTTGTGGTTTGCATGAATTCATATTTAAAGTGGTCCAGGCCAATGCATGGCTATTGCTGTAAATCTTGATGTTTATTTTGCCTTTTAAAATTCTATCATGGCTTACCTGGAATTTAATATTCAGTGGACAAATTAACTGGTCCTCTGCACAACTTTTGTTTAATAAGTAAATTATTTTACAAACAAATTTGAACAAATTTAATTGAAACTTTTGTTTAGCTTACCTCTGAGAATTTTTCTTAATAAAACTCACAGAACTTCTCAGCAAATAAATCTCCCTTAAGTAGGAAAAAAGCTAGAGTTCATACTTGCTTACTTTGAATTAACAGCAACTTTCCCTAGGTAAATCTCCTCTTGCAAAGATGTGAGTGGAATATTAAAGAAGTAAATATTTCTACATCTCATGGTTCTAGAATAGAAGCCATAAATGCAGTAAATACTGTTTGTTGTTTGTTTTACTACTTGAAACTTCATTTTTCACATTTTCAAGTTTATTAGGTTATTTTAAAAAAAGCAGCCTTGGAAGGCAGCTATTGTACTATGGGAAACTGCAGTTTGCATTCAAGATAAAATAGTGTTTTCAGCTCCATGAAAAACCATTCCGCTGAAACTGCTGTAGAATCGTGAAGCTGCATGAGTGGAGAGTGCTGAGTCTGTGACTGTAGTAGTTCTCTCAGGTCTGTTCATCTCGATGTTCAATGCACTGTGTTTTGTAAATAGTTATTAAAGTTGAGTAATATCCAACTCGGTGCGGCGTTCTGTGTCCTTGGCCTTCTGTGAATGTGCATGTTTTAAACTGCAAATTTTAAACATTTTGTCCTCTAATTGTTATTTAAAATGAAATAAACTTTACCATTACATAAAGAAAATTGTTAGTTTTAATTGCTAGTTTTAGAAACTGTATTGTTTATAAAACTTCCAATCCATGGAACTATACTATATAACCTGAGAAGGTATATCTATTTAATGGCATTATTAACATATTTTGTTTATAATCCCAGTGATATATAAAATAACCCCTCATTTTTACTCAGCTAAATCAAGCATGAAGTGGAATTATTGACTCTAGTATAGCAAGAAGGATAATTTTTTAAAGTATATTTTATTGATTATGCTATTACAGTTGTCCCATTTTTTCTCCCCTTTATCCCCCTCCACCCTGCACCCCCCTCCCTCCTTCCCTTTCTCCTTCCTTCCTTCCTTCCAGTATTCCTCGCCCTTAGTTCATGTCTATGGGTCATAGATGTAAGTTCTTTGACTTATCCATTTCCAAAACTATTCCTAACCTCCCCGTGTCTATTTTGTACCTACCATTTATGTTTCTTTTCTATATATATATATATATATATATATATATATATATATATATATATATATATATATATCCAGTCTTCTGCCTGAGGCTGGAACAGGCATTCTTTTTTTTTTTAAGATTTTATTTATTTATTTTTAGAGAGGGAAGGGAGGGAGAGAGAGAGAGAAACATCAATGTGCGGTTGCTGGGGGTCATGGCCTGCAACCCAGGCATGTACCCTGGCTGGGAATCAAACCTGCAACACTTGGTTCGCAGCCCGTGCTCAATCCACTGAGCTATGCCAGCCAGGGCTCCATTTATGTTTCTTATTCCCTGTACCTTTTCCCCCTCCTTCCCCTCCCCACTGATAACCCTCCATATGATCTCCATTTCTGTGATTCTATTCCTGTTCTAGTTGTTTGCTTAGTTTGTTTTTGTTTTTATATTTTTTATAATTAACTACTAAAAAGGAATAATTTAAATGAAATTATTATGTTTGATTCTTTGGTCAGAGAAGCCTTCCAGGATTGTCCCCCTTTGATATTTAAATCAGCCCACAGTTCAACAGCTAACTCATGGTGCCATCTTTCAAGTAGGGTAAATTTCTTAGGGTATCTAAACCCACCAAATTCTTTTAAGTTTATGAGAACATGGTCAATTTTAGCCATTAATAATTGAGTGAAGTAACCAGGAAAATAATATAATAGCCATGTGATATGGAAGTACAGGCAACATCGGAAATGAGGACAATAGCTCTATCAAAAACGAACATTGTAGCCCTGGCTGGCGTAGCTCAGTGGATTGAGCACAGGCTGCGAACGAAAGTGTCACAGGTTCGATTCCCAGTCAGGGTACATGCCTGGGTTGCAGGCCATGACCCCCAGCAACTGCACATTGATGTTTCTCTCTATCTATCTCCCTCCCTTCCCTCTCTAAAAATAAATAAAATCTTAAAAAAAAAAACGAGCACTGTTGAATAAGAGGTGACAAAAGCTGTAGTCAGGTAACCTTCTGGATGGAGCAGGATCAGTTCGCAGAGAGGCACTGAGGAAGCCGTCTGAGGAGCCCCTGGTTTTATCAGAGGGAGGCAGTGTGTGCTCAGCTGTCCGAGACCCTGTCCTTCCCCGCAGTCTTCCCAGGGACAGCGACTGGGTGAGGGCACCCCAAGGAACACCACAGCAAAACAGTGTCCCCACAGAAAAGTTCCCTGTGAATCATGTCCGGTGATTCTCACATTCAACTTTATTGCCCTCCAAATAAGCACTGTTTATACTGACCCTGTCATGTAAGATGCCTTCTAGTATAAGGAAAGAGCAACCTTAAAACACATTCCCATGCATTCAATACGTAAGCCCCATGTTAAAGCATTTGTACACTAATGGGATTTCTAACCTGGAGCTTCTGTTTCAGCAACACAGAGCCGCTCATTTTCACAAAGAAGAAAGATCTTCCTAACCTGGGTAATTTCACTAGTAAGCTACTAAAAATTGTTGGAAAATATCAAGCATTTTACCATTCAGGTTTGTTAGAATTATTTCATTTATCGGGGTGAGATTGGTGACTAAAACCATATAGGTTTCAACTCTACAGTTCTGTAACGTGGTCTGCATACCACATTGTGTGCTCACCACCCAAAGTCAAGTCTCTTTCTGCCACCACTTATGGCCCTTTACCCTCTTCCACCTCTCCCTCCACCTTTTCCTCTGGTTGTCACCATACTGTTGTCTGTGTCTATAAGGGTGGGGTTTTTTTGCTTAATCATTGCACCTTTTCCCCTAGCCCCCCAACCCCCCTCCCCTCTGACAGCTGTCTGTCCTGTGTATCTATGATTCTGTTTCTATTTTGTTAGTTTATTTTGCTCATCAGATTCCACAGATAAGTAAGATCATATGGTACTTGTTTTTCTCTGACAGGCTTATTTCACTTAGTATAATATTCTCCAGGTCCATCCATGATGTCACAAAAGTTAACATTTTCTTTTTCACAGCCAAGTAGTATTCCACTGTGTAAATGTACCACAGCTTTTTTTATCCACTCATCCACTGATGGGAACTTTGGCTGCTTTCAGATTGGCTATTGTAAATAACACTGCTATGAACATAGGATATATTCTTTAAATCCATTTGAGTTTATTCTTGTGTGTGGATTAAGGAGGTGATCTAGTTTCTTTTCTTTCTTTTTTTTTGCATGTACCTATTCAGTTTTCCTACACCGTTTATTGAATAGACTTTCTACTCTGTTGTATGCCTTGCCTCCTCTGTCAAATATTAATTAACCATAAGGGTGTGAGTGTCTTAATAGGAATTGTGTTGAATCTATAGATTGCTTTGGGTAGTATGGGCATTTTAATGATGTTAATTCTTCCTGCCCATGAACACTTATTTGTATCTTCCTCAATTTCTTTCTTTAGTATCACATAAACTTTTCAAGTAAATGTTACCTTCTTGGTGAAATTTATTCCTAGTTATGTACCTTATTTGTGTGTGTGTGTGACACTATAAGTGGGATTGTTTTCTTAGTTCCTCTTCTTGATAGTTTATTATTGGTGTATAAAATGCCACCAATTTCTGAATATTCTGTATACTGCTACTTTACTGACTTTGATCAGTTCTAATCATGTTTTGGTGGAGCCTTTAGAGTTTTCTACGTAGTATCATGTCATCTGCAAATAATGACAGTTTTACTTCTTTCCTCCCAATTCAGATGCCTTTTATTTCTTTTTTTTTTTTTTGTCTGATTGCTGTGGCTAGAACTTCCAGTACTATTTGAATAAGATGGTAAAGCAGACATCCCTGTCTTGTTCCTGATTTTAAGGGGAATGCTTTTAGTTTTTTCCCACTGAGCATGATGTTGGCTGTGGTACAGTTAGTTTTTATTTCAAGTTCAAACTATGTAACCAGAAATTCAAATAAGAATTATGTGTCAGAATAATTTCATGAATAACTAATATTTAATTGCAGCTTTAAAATGGCCATGTACATATAAAAATATGTTAACTGGTTATTCCTTAATAGTTTAATATGCCTGTAAATTCTTAATTTTCCTAAACACACACTAAGTAAACCTTTTACCTAGGCTATGCAAAGATAAACTGGCCCACTGAAATTTATCACATGCCTAATTGTGATTGTGTATGTTTTCAGGAACCTCTTTGGTTGTCTCCTTTCAGGCAGGAAGTGTCCTTTAGATTTAAGTCAATCTGGCAAATTCTCCACGAGAAGAAACTAATAATAACATCAGTGAAGAGTAGAGAAGTGGGGAAAATAAGAGGGAACTGTCCACCCATTTGAAACAAATTGACTATATTAAATATGCTTTTCTATGCGGGTGATAAACTAATTCACAGGCCATGTGTAACCAGCAGGTGGACGGTGTGCTCCGTCCCAGGCAATGGTAGTAAACTCGCCAGGTATTAGAGAAGGCCGTAGGTTATCCTGGGCTAGCTCTGTCAAACTGCCTGACCATTTTCTCTGTTCCCCCGCACTCCCCTCCACAGTTACGTCCACCCTCCCACAGTACTTAACCTTTCATTTTTATCTTAGGGTATGTCATCTGCTTTCTATTACTTACCGTTAACTTATGACACCGCTCCCTCCCCGCTAGGATGCAAGTGATTTGAGACAGGGACTCTAACCTCCTATTTCTCATGACAGCCCTACAATAAGGTGCCATTAATATTTCCATTTTACAAATGAGAAGAAAAAAACAGTGAAGTTAAGGAAGTGGCCAAAAGTCACGCAGCTTATAAGCAACAGGCAGAAAGCTAACCCAGACCCCATGACTAGAAAATCCGTGCTGACTTGCCTTCTGGACTCAAGTTTCTCGTGTGTGACAGGAGAGATGTTTGCCATGTAGTATTTCTATAGTTCTGCTTGTGCTTTGTATCATCCTAGGTTCTCGTGATGTAGCACAAACTCCACTGACCATTACAGTCCCCTCTATAGGATGTGTTCCCCCACACATTGATTCCCCCAGTCATTGTCCCCCCCGATAGATTTTCTGAAAAATAGGCTAGATATTTTTTCCTGAGAAAATTGGGCCGTCTGGGTAGGTGTCATAAAGAATGTAGAGTGTCAAAGCAGACTTTCTGTGTTTAAATGTTGGCTCTGCTCTTTTTTTTTTAATTTTTATTTATTGATTTGAGAGAGAGGAAAGGAGAGAAAAGAGAAACATCGATTGTTGTTCCACTTCTTCACGCAATCGTTGGTTGATTCTTGTATGTGCCCTGACGGATCAAACCTCCTGCGACCTTGGCGTATCAGAAGAACGCTCTCACCAACTGAGCTGCCCGGCCAGTAGTTGCTCTGCTATTACCTAGCCATGGGCACTTTCTGCTTTGATTTCTTCATCAACAAAACAGGCATGATCATAGTCCCGACGTCAGGGTTGGGAAGACTAAGTGATATAATTCCTAAAGCACTCGAGACACAGGTGGTGCTTGATAAATGCT